CTCTAACCCAGAAATGACGTTCTACCATACATACTGTACTTATAACGAAGACAATAAGAAATCTAAAAAATATTTCTTTAGTTATAAAACATATGCAAAATGTGGGAGATGTTAAAATCTGTGTGTGACAGCCAGAGTAGCTGGGAGCTGTGGAGTATTCCTCCAGTCCTGTATCTGACTCAGCATGTAACATCACAGTAACTATCAGTTCAGCCTCTTCACTCAGCTACAGTATCTGTCCTCCAACAGGCTTCCCAGCATGCACTGTGGGACCCCCACAGATGGTTCAGATTGTTTTCAGAGCATTTGGCGGTTGATCAGCCTAGAAGGACACAACTTATTCCATCACTGAATAAAACACAGACACACACTGACACTGAGCAAAGAATAAACAAAATGAAAAAGATATTTTAAAAGCAGCTGTTGAAAGTGGAGCCTATTGGTGCATTTACTTTACTTGTGGAGAGACCCACTGTTATTGTATTAATAATTGAAGTCTAAGCACAACAATTATCAAATCGTAATTGTTTGCCAACTAAAAACTGATTGTGGTTATTTGAGTTTCATGGTATTCTCAGGTCTGACTTCTGAGGTCAACAGAACTCAACATTTTACACTAAAAGTTTTAAAATTCACCACACCATCCCCCAGATGACATCCCAGTGGACATACAGGGACATGCAGTGTGGCAGGAAAGGACAGAGACAGAACAGTACAGGATGGGACTGGAGACAGTACTTGTTGCTTTTCTTCTTCTCTCTCTTTGAAAGCCACTTATGGTAGTAGGAGCTTTTGACTCTGTAGCAATAGAAGAGCAGCAGCACTGCAGGAAGGACCACCAGGAAGGCAAACAGCAGCCCCACCACCAAACCCACTTGACCTGTACACACACACACACACACACACACACACACACACACACACACACACACACACACACACACAAAGAAAGAAAAACACACACTGTCATTTCATGTTCAGATTCTTGAAATCGGACAGTTTTGACACGTGAGTGTGTTGTAGATGGAGGATGAGTGACAGATGACATCAAGCCGACTTTAAGAATGTATGAAGATCATGCATGAGTAAATAAAATGTTATTTTAAAAAATGTACTTTTTAACCAAAGTATTTTGGTTAGTCTGTCAGTGGGTTGGAGTTATTTTTATAAATCTGTGTAAATAACATTTGCTCATTCATATTTTCTTATTTGGAGGATTCTTGTTATTAAAATGTRTATGCTGTCAGTTACATTTACTGTAAGAAATTTTGTTGAGAATTTATGTAAATGATTCATTCAGTGGACTGAAGTGATAAGTTACTTATTTGTATTCCACCTTAAAAAGACCTTGAGAATAAATATAGTTTCTCTACAGAGAACAGAAATATGTTTGCAGACCAATAAAATGTTTTCATTTCCTACATGGCACATAGAAAATAATGTCAATGTCAATTTTATTTATAAAGTGCTTTTAAAAACAGCTAATAGCTGCATCAAAGTGCTGTACAACACTTAATCTTATCATCATRATCACTTATCTATTTTTTGTATTTCTTTACATGACTGTTATGTACTCCACATTTCTATGTTTCTGC